CTGTGGTCAATGACATGAGACAAAGTATATGTGAACTGCTGTATGGAAAGTGAATTTGCTCTGTAAATCTTCACCCAAATATAAATAAATTAATATTAAAAAAAAAATTGGGGAGACAGCTACCTGACCAACTGACTAGATCTTTATTTGTGGTCATTCCAAAGAAAGGTGATCCAACAGAATGCAGAAATTACCTAACAATATTTCTGATGACACATGCTAGAAAAGTTTTGTTGAAAATAATTTAAAAATGTTGGCAGCAGTACATTGACAGGGAATTGCTAAAAATTCAAGCCAAATTCAGAAGATTTAGAATGAGGGATATCAATGCTGATGTCAGATAGGTCTTGGCTGAAAGCAGAGAATACCAGAAAGATATTTACCTGTATTTTATTGACTATGTGAAGGCATTCAACTGTGTGGATCATAACATATTATGTATAACATTGCAAAGAATGGGAATTGCATAACACTTAATTGTGCTCATGTGAAAATGGAATGTAGACTGAGAGGCAGTTGTTCAAACAGAATAAGGGGATACTGCATAGTTAAAAATTCAAGAAAAGTGTGTCAGGGTTGTATCTTTTCACTATATTTATTCAATCTGTGTGCTGAGTAAATAATCCAAGAAGCTTGACTATATGAAGAACAGGATTGAAGGAAGACTCATTAACAACCTGTGATATACAGATGACACAGCCTTCCTAGCTGAAAACCAAGAGGACTTGAAGCACTTACTAATGAAGATCAGAATACAGCTTTCAGTATGGATTACACCTCAATATAAAGAAAAGAATAATCCTCAAAACCAGGCCAATAAGCAACATTATGGTAAGTAGAGTAAATGTTGAAATTGTCAGGGATTTTATTTCACTTGCATCCATAATCAATGTCCATAGAAACAGCAGTAAAGAAATCAAGTGACGTATTGCATCGGGCAAATCTCCAAAAAAAGCTTCTTTAAAGTGTTAAAAAAGAAAAATATCACATTGAGGACTAAGATATGCCTGATTCAAGACATGGTATTTTCAGTTGCCTCATATGCAGGTAAAAGCTGGACAATGAATAAGGAAAACTGTAGAATTGATGCCTTTGAATTATGGTGTTGGTTAAAAAAAAAAAAAAAATTGCATATACCATGAACTGCTAGAAAAATAAACAAATCTGTCTTGGAAGAACAGCCAGAATGATCCTTAGACGCAAGGATGGTGAGACTTCATCTCATGTGCTTTGGATATGTTATCAAGAGGACCAGTCCCTGGAGAAGGACATCACGCTTGGTAAAGTAGAGGATCAATAAAAAAGAAGACCTTCAAACAGATGGATTGACACAGTAGCTGCAACAATGGACTCAAACATAACAATGATTGTGAGGATGGGGCAGGACCAAGCAGTGTTTTGTTCTGTTGTACATGGGGTGACTGTGAGTAGGAAATGACAATGGCACCTAACAACAATAATGATAAATAGATTGGCAGAAGTTATGTACTTGCAATGTTGTCACATCATCTGCTTTAGTCTTTAACTAATCATCATCATTGTAATCAAAATAATCAAAATCAAAATCATAATCATCATCAAATTATAATCATTGTCTCTTTTTTTAAAAATCATTTTTGTGCCCTTTTCTCATTTTTAGTTTCTTAATATCAGTTTGATCAGGTCAGGATCAAACGTCAACCTGGAAATCTTGTCTTGTTTTTGAAACTAACATTTAAAATTTCTCCATGTATATAATGTTTGCCTTTTGTTTTATTTTGCTAATTGTTTGGTACAATGCAACGCAACACACTACCGTGGATGGCCTTTATCTAATTAAGAAATTTCCCTTTTAACAAATTATAAGCTTTTTAATCATAAATACATATACTTTATTGAATGCTTTTTTGCAGCTATTGATATGATTATATTTGTGATCTTTCTCCTTTAGTTCATTTATATGGCAAATTATGTTCATAGACTATGATGTTGAATCTTTGCACATTTTGAAGAAACTCTCATTGATCATAATGAACTTGTAATTCCACTGTTGGATTCTGAAAACTAGTATATATTAGGATATTTATATATGTTGCAATAAGTTTTATTGGACTATGGTGTTCTTGTACTATCCCTATCTGATGTTAATATCAAAGTCACATTAACTTCATAAGATAAGTTGTGCTGCTTTCCTTCATTTCTGATATTCTGGAACAGTTTGTAAAATATAGGGAGAAATAATCCTTGAATATTTTGGAAAACTCACCTTGAAAGTCATTAGGTGTGGCCTTTTCTGGCCTAGGGGAGATACACAGTTGGGGTAGAGAGAGGTTATCAGTTAAGATTCATTTGACTACAAGTATAGGAAAATGCACTGAAAGTATCTTAAACCTTAACAATATTTGTTGTCTATTTACTCTGATGTCCAGGGGTAGTTTGTCCCAGTTTTGGTTCAGTACCTTAACAATGTGTGTGCAAGGAGAAAGCTCTTTCTAACTTGCCATGTTCACTGTGCTGGTAATGACCACACTTACATACACAGATGGCTGCACAGTCCAAGTATCAGGTCCTCAGTGTGAAGGTACTAACTAGAAAGGGAGAGGAGCGAAGTTTCTCCAAAAGCCGTCCTTTTCCTTACATCTCACTTGAAATGATAACAAAGTTGCTTTTATCTATTTATATGTCATGTTTCATTCCTAGGGCTGAGGTTCCAAACAGTACTGCGCTTCAAGTTAGTAAACAAGATGGGAAATTAGATGTTGGTTAGCTATACTTACCAAACCGAAAACCAAACTCACTGCTGTTGAGTAGATTGCAACTCATAGTGATCCCTCCTTGGGTTTCCAACGTGGTATCACTGTGGAAGTAGATTGCTCCATCTTCCTTCTGAGGACTGGCTGGTAAGTTTGAACCGTCAGCCTTCTGGTTAGCAGTCAAATGCTTTAGGCACTGTGCCATCAGAGCGCCCACTTGGGGAGGGTAATTATTATTAGTCAATCCAAGTTTTCTGTTTCTTCTTGTGACAATTCTAATATTTGTATTTTTCCAAAAGTATATTAATCTCATCTAGATTTTCACATGTATTTGGAAGGTAATTGTTCTTAATACTCTTTTTAAAAGGAGTCCTAGTGGTGCAGTGGTCAAATGCTTGGCTGCAAACTGAAAGGTCAGTTTGAATACACCAGCCACTCTGTGGGAAAAAGATGTGGCAGTCTGCTTCTGTAAAGATTACAGCCTTGGAAACTCTGTGGGGCACTTCTACTGTGTTCTATAAGGTCGTCATGAGTTGGAATTGACTCAGTGGCAATTTTAAAAATACATTATTTTATTATTTTTTTTCAAACTTACTATATTTATGATTATTTATCTTCTTTCTTTCCTATATTTTGTTTGCATTTTCCTTTCTTTTTATCTTGGCCAGTTTTGGCAGAAATATCTCTTTTCAGAAAACTAATTTTATTTCATACCTGGTTTAGGTTTTATTTTCTTTTTGGGTTTCTGTTTTTTTGATCATCTGCTCTCATCATTGGGATTTTCTCTTTTTTTCTTAGATTTAGTGTCTTCCTCTTTTTCTAGCTTCTTGAATTAGGTGCTTAGTTCATTTGCTTCCAAATATTTTGTTTTCTGATCATTGTTTTCAGTGCCATACATTTCCCACAAACTGCTATTTTAGTTCTATCCTGCAAATACATATGTAGTGCTTTCATGGTCATTCAGCTGTTATAACTATATTTCTTAATTTTGTTTATTATTTTTTCCTAAACCAAGTTGTTGATCCACATATATTTTAGTTTTCAGACATAGGTTTTTGTTTTGGAGTTATTTTTAAAGTTCTGCTTTTACTATTGATATTTTAAAATATTTAGGAACTTCAGATTTACGGAAAAGCCGCAAAGGTAGTATGGAATATCCACCTGTATATCCACTTTCCTCTAATGTTAACATTTTACATTACCATGGCTTATTTGTCAAAACTAAGAAGCCACTGTTGGAACACTACTATTACATAAACTCCAGACTTTATTTGGATTTCACCAAGTTTTCCACTTTTTCTGTTCCAGAATCCCATCCAGGAAACCACGTTCCATTTGATTTTCACATGTCCTTAGTATCCTCTGGTCTGTGACAGTTTCTCAGTCTTTACTTTGAGGAATACTGCTCAGATATTTTGTAGAATGCTCCTCAATTTGGGATTGTCTAACATTTTTCTGAAAAATAGACTGAGATTATAGGTTTATGGGAAGAATACCAGAGAGGTGAGATGCATCTCAGCTCAAATCAGTACCTGTTCACTAGAAAATAGCCCACTAAACTCATTTATTTATCTTTTTCATGATAAATACCTGGGGATGCAATTCAAACTCTTCTTTACAGATTGGGCAGATATTCTAGACCGAATATCATATTAGGATACATGATAGCCACGTGTCTTATCACTGATAACATTAACCTTCATCACTTGGTTATGGTAGTGTTTGCCAGGTTTCTCCGTTTTTCCTTTTCTGTAATCTGTTCCTTGGAAACAAGTCACTAAATCTAACTTACGTCACACCTCCCAGACTGATCCTTTACTTTAATTTTCCATCTCCTACTTTATCTTTTTATCATACTTTCTATGATATTAGCTTACCTTTTTCTTAAAGCATTTCAGCTAACTTTACCATTCCTAAATTTTACAATTTTGAAGAACTTTCTTTTTTGTACTCTCAGTGTCCTTTGTCGTAACTTCTTGTTCTTATTTCATGCATATGACATTTAATTTTATATCTGTGAAGATAAGCATTGGGAGCTGACACTTTTTTATATATTTACTGTCATATTTGTATACAAAATAATGTCATTAAAATGATATTTGAGTACCATATTGTAAAATATAGTTTAACTCATATTTTGTATTGTTTTAACTTTAGCACAGAAGCTGGGACTGTTTGAACCTCCTCCATTGCCACTTTCAACAGATGAATGGGAAAAAGTGAAACAAAGATCTATCACACAAGGGGATTCTATGCAGCCATGCCCAATCTGTAAAGAAGAGTTTGAATTGCATCCCCAGGTATTTAGCATGAAAAAGATAAATAAATGAGTTTAGTGGGATATTTTCTAGTGAACAGATACTGATTTGAGCTGAGATGCAAGGCACTTTTTTCTAGTTTCGTTCTCCTATATGATCCTAAAATACTTACATTCTCCTCTCCATTAATTAAAGGATGTTTGTGAGAAAGAGTTAAACACTCATTAAACAGTTTTATTTGCCATAACATATTAATTCTCAAGTATAAAAGTTTGTACAAAAGAAATTCGTCCATTCCACCCTTCCCTCAGAAAAAAGTGAGGGAAGTAACTAATATGAGAATATAGAGAAGCACTTTTATCCCAGAGCAGGAAAGAAGAAAACAAAGATTTTAAAGTTGTTTGGAAATTTGAGTCATAGAAGAAAAGAAAAAACTATACTTGATATCCTCAAAAAACTTGTAGAATCTTTAAAGAATTTGAAGTATTTTGTCATCTTTATTTGTGAAACTTTACCATAATAAGAGTTATGGCATTAACCTGAATTTATACATAATATATAATCCATGTTGTAGGTTTTCTCTGTCATATTTTGTCAGCCTATCTAAATTCCCACTCCTCGGAAGGAAGATTGGGCAATCTACTTCTGTAGTGATACTGCCTCGGCAACCCAAGGAAGGGTCACTATGAGTCGGGTCCGACTTGAGGGCACATAACAACAACAACAACAATCTAAATTGTAATCTCCTGGAAATTAGGGGCACTTATATTTTTAGAATCATTCTTAGAGCTAATGGTTGCTCAGAATAATTTTCCACAATGTATAATTATGTTTGCTGCATAGCAAGCACTCAGATATTTGCTGAAAAAAATACAGCAAATATAATTAAAACCCCAGGCTTTCCTTACTACCCTGGCACATAAACACTCAACTTTAAGTGTTTTATTAAGTTTCATCATTAACAAGTAAGTTCGTAACTATAAAACATTTGGTTTTTAATATTTTTTAATTCATAATTTATTTTAAACATAGATATACTCCAGTTCTCCATCAAGACCTACTCTTTCATATGTGTAACTTAGGTATTTTGGAAAGATTTCAACCTTTAAAAAACAGAATTACCATCTAGAATAATGTAGTATTGTAGTGTAGCAAAAGAGTTAATGAAGCTACCGGGAATTTTTGTTGTTGTTGTTGTTGTTATGTGCTGTCGAGTCGTCCCCGACTCATAGCGACCCCTCCTTGGGTTTCCGAGGCAGTCTCACTACGGAAGTAGAATTGCCCAACCTTCCTTCCGAGGAGTGGCTGGTGGGTTTGAACCGCCAGCCTTCTGGTTAGCAGTCAAGTGCTTTAGCCACTATGCTACCAGAGCTCCTCCGGGAATCTTTAGGCCTCAGCAAATTCTTTATCAATAATAATATAAATATTTAGCCTGATTGTTTATATGAAGAATGAAACACTAAAGTTGAATAGTTTAAGAGGGGATCAGAACAATAGAGAGAATCAATGAGAACAGAAGTTGGTTCTTTGAAAAGATTAATGAAATTGACAAAACTTTAGCTAGATTGACAAAGGGTGCAATTAATCAAAATTTAAAATGAGGGACTATTAAAACTGACCCAACAGAAATAAACAGAATTATGACAGAATATTATGAACAACTATATGGCAACAAACTGTATAACCTAGATGAAACAAACAAATTCTTACCATACAATCTATACCCAAACTCACTAAAGAGGAAATAGTCTCAACAAACCCATAACAATTGAAAAGACTGACTCAGTCATCAAAATTCCCTAAAAGGGGAAAATAATCCTGGATCACATAGCTTCAGTAGGAATTCTACCAAATATTTAGAGAAGATTTGACATCAATATTGTTTAAACGCTTCCAAAGGATAAAGAAAGAATACTCCCTAATTCATTCTATAAAAAAATATAACCCCGATAGCCAAACCAGATGACGCCAAAAGAAAAGATAACTCCATGCCAATATCTCTTATGAATACAGATGCCAAAATCCTCAACAAAATACTAGCAAATAGAATCCAACAGCATATAAAGAGGAAGGCTGGTGGTTCAAACCCACCAGCCACTCCTCAGAACGAAGGTTGGGCAATCTACTTCTGCAGTGATACCACCTTGGAAACCCAAGGAGGGGTCGCTATGAGTTGAATCAACTCGACGGCAGTGAGTTTGGTTTTTTGGTTTACACTATGACCAAGTGGGATTTATTCCAGGAATGCAGCAATGAGTCAACATGAAAAAATCAATCAACATAATATAACACATCAATAGAACAGAGGAAAGGAATCACATTGTCACCTCTGGAAGGCAGAAAAAACATTTGATAAAAAACAACACACAGTCTTGATGAAAACTCTAAAGAAGGTTGGAAAAGCAGAGAAATTCTTCAATATGATTTAAGGCTTATATGGAAAGCATAGTCAACATTAAACTTAATGGAAAAACTGAGAGATTTCCCCTTGAAATTGGGAAAAAGAAAGAGAAATAAAAGGTATCCAGATTGAAAAAGAGGAAATAAAATTATCTCTATTCATAGGTGATATGATCCTATGCATATGGAAAATCCCGAAGACCACAGGAAAACTTCTAAAGCTAATAGAGGAATTTAGCAAATTTGCAGGACACAAGATCAACAAACAAAAGTCATTGCTATCCACTAGCAATGAGAAATCTGAAAGGGAAGTTGGGGAAACATTTCCATTTACAATAGCATCTAAGAGGATAAAATACCTCTTATAAATAAATATAAACAACATCATATAAAAATAAACGATATCAACAACAGGGATGTGAAGGACATATATAATGAGAACTACATTACACTGCTGAAGGAGATTAAGGAAGAATGAAATAAATGGAAACATGTTCATTGATAGAAAAATTTAGTATTATTAAGATATCAGTACTACCCAATGGGATCTGTAGATTCAATGCAATCCTGATCAAAATTCCAATGGCCTTCTTTCCAAAAAAAGAAAGAACAGTCTTCAACTTTATGTGGAATGGCAAGAGCCTCCAAATAGCTAAAACACTGTTGAAAGAGAAGAATATAATGTTGCTAATATGCTGGAAGATATAAACCCAAGGAGGGGTCGCTATGAGTCGGGTTTGACTCGACGGCACATAACAACAACAAACAAATGCCACCAGTATTTCAAATACCAGCAGGGGCACTCCTGGAGAAGAGGTTTCAAAGGAGCTTGCTTCCAGACTAAGACAGACTGCAAAGAAGGATGTAGCCATGTCCACTTCTGAAAGAATTGGCCAAAGAAAACCTTATGAATAGCAGAGAAACATATAGTAGGATATAGTGACAGAACCCGAGCCACTCAGATTATAAAGCACTCAAAATACGTCTGGGAAAGAACTACCTACTCAAAGTACAGATGACCTTGATGATGTGGATGGAGTAAAGCTTTCTAGACCTTCAACTGTGGCATGAATCAAAAGGACAATGTTTTTTAAAATCTGAAAACATCCATTAATAATCTAAACATTGTTGTTGATAGGTGCTGTAGAGTCAGCTGCAACTCATAATGACCCTATGTACAACGGAACAAAACTGCCCGATCCTATGGCAGCCTCACAATCCTTGTTATACTTGAACCCGTCGTTGCAGCAACTGTGCAGCCATCTTGTTGAAGGCCTTCCCCTTTTGTGCTGACCCTCCACTTTACAAAGCATGATATCCTACTCCAGGGAATCGTCCCTTCTGACAACATGACCAAAGTAGGTGAGACAAAGTCTGGCCATTCTTGCTTCTTAGAAGCATTCAAGCTGCACTTCTTCCAGGACAGATTTGTTAGTTCCTCTGGCACATAGTACTTTCAGTATTCTGCGCCTACACCACAACTCAAAAGCATGAACGCTTTCTCAGTCTTCCTTATTCATTATCCAGTTTTCACATGCATATGAGGTGATTGAAAATACCACAGCTTGGGTTAAGCGCCCCTTAGTTCTCAAAGAGACATCTTCGCACTTCAGAACTTTAAAGAGGTCTTTTGCAGCAGATTTGCCCAGTGCAATACAACATCTGGTTTCTTGATTGCTGCTTCCATAGGTGTTTATTGTGGATCAAAGTAATATGAAATCTTCGACAACTTCAATCTTTTCTCCATTTATCATTTTGTGGCTTATTGGTCCAGTTGTGAGGATTTTCGTGTTATGTTGAGATATAATCCATACTGCAGGCTGTATGGATTCAAATCATCTTCACTTTCAGCAAGCAAGGTTGTGTCATCTGCATATTGCAGGTTGTTAATGAGTCTTTCTCCAATCCTGATCCGTGTTCTTCTTCATATAGTCCAGCTTCTCAGATTATTTGCTCACCATACACATTAAATAAGTATGGTGAAGAAATAGAACCCTGACACACTCCCTTCCTGATTTTAAACCATGCAGTATCCCCTTGTTATGTTTGAACGACAGCCTCCTAGTCTATGTACAGATTCCTCATGAGCACAATGAAGTGTTCTGAAATTCTCATTCTTCTCAATGTTATCCATAATTTGTTATGATCCACACAGTTAATGCTTTTGCATAGTAAATAAAACACAAGTAAACATCTTTCTGGTATTCTTTGCTTTTAACCAAGATCCACCTGACATCAGCAATGATATGCCTTGTTCTCTGTCCTCTTCTGAATCCAGCTTGAAGTTCTGGAAGTTCCTGTAAGTATACTGCTGTAACCATTTTTTAATTATCTTCAGCAAGATTTTACTTGAGTGTGATATTAATACTGTTTGATGATTTCCACATTCTGTGGAATCATCTTTCTTTGGAATGGGTACAGATATTGATCTCTTCCAGTCAGTTGGCCAGGTAGCTGTCTTCCAGATTTCTTGACATAGACGAGTGAGTGCCTCCAACACAGCATCCATTTTTTGAAACGCCTCAATGGATATTCTGTCAATTCCTGGAGCCTTGTTTTCTCCAATTCCTTCAGTGCAGCTTCAACTTCTCCCTTCAATACCGTTGGCTCTTGTTCATGTGCCGCCTCCTGAAATAGATGAA